AATAAAGCATTGATATTATCAAAAATAAAGGCAAAAACTCGTGTAGATGGACTTGATGATGAAGAAGAATTTGAGAATGTTTGGGTTGAACTGAAAGGTGGCTTCGGTAATTATCATGAAGCTGAAAACCAAAACAATCGTGAGGATTTAGACGTATTGCTTAAGGGATTCTCAATAATGTCCGCAATACAAGCATTTACATTGCCAGAAGATGCAAAGAAGAACATTGGCGATCTTGAATTTTTCGGAATAAGAGGGATTGGAAATCATTTTCAGTTCTGGGGTAGTTTTCAGGCTTCTCAATATCTCATGTGCTCGTATCTGTTAGGGGAATTTCGTTTACCATCATTTGAGGGAAGAGAGGGTAGTGGCATTCAAGATCTATTATATGCAATTAAAATCGTTTACTCATTCAAGGTAAATATTCGTTTTATTTTCAAAAGAGTTTGCTTAAGCTTTCTTGTCAATATCTATATATATTGCTTACCAATATATAGGTAAGGGTGGAAGCCAGTAAATTAAAGTTTCATCAGATCAGAGCTCTAGCAAGAAGTAAAAGAATTTTTGAAGATGATTCTTCGCCAATCAAAGCAAAAAGAGTAAAGAGTTAGAGACCGAACTTACCGTTGAATCATACCTTTTTCTATTTCTTTCCTTCGATATAACCCTGATGAGAGTGATACTTTGTGACGGTCATACAAATTTATTCTTTGTAACTAAAAAATTATTAATAAAAATACAAATATCAAATTTTTTTCTTACATATCTTGTATCTATGTAAGCATGAATAGCTCATATCATCTCTTTTAAGTTTCCTTAATATTTTTAACGAGACTATTGCCTAAATTTGAATTTATTGCTTTATCTATAATACGCCCAACCATTTTCTCAAAGTTTCCTGTGCTACATGACAGTTCCATTCCAATAAATCATATGGATATTGATTCATCTCATTTTGGAGATATTGACGGGCTTCTTCCACAGTAACGTCTTTGTAAACATGCTTTCCATAAAGTTGTTTCGTCCATACTTCGCCATTCATATTTATGACTTGGTGAGGGTTATTGTAATCGGTGCTTATTACGTAAAAGCTGGTTGGAATGGCAACTGCACAAAAATTCCGAACAAAAATGATTTTTAAGAAGCAAAATCAATGCCACTTCACATATCAATTTACCTACGACATTAGACTTCTCTTTTTGCTTGACGAGCTCGATTATATAGTAAACATTATTTGCCGTTCCAACCAAAACAGCGGAATGGGCCATCTTTCTGAGTCGGAATGGTGTGCCCTCGAGTTTTCGGCGAATAACGTAAAGTTGAACGATTTTCTAATTATAAGATTTCAATTGATGAAGAATTATGAAATCATGATTGTTAAATTTATTATGAAAAAACTCACCGACATTGTTTCCTTGGGTAAAGAATTGTTTTTCTGTATGTAACATTTCGATAAAATTTTCTTCCCTTGATCACGTTACTGTATTACACAAATAGTTCCAGGATTGGCTACCATCAAAGAATTGTGTCATTATTACAGTCAACCACCGACCCCTTCCACAGATCATGTGTAATACACCAAATTTTTCCGAGCACAAAGAACATTACAAATGCTGATCATGATACCTTTTATAGATTGGTATAGCTTCTATATCGGTATTGTATGTTCATAAACTTTCATGCCCAAATACAGTAAATCGGTCATAATATCCTCGACGTCTAGTAATCCGATTTGAGTGAGAAATAATATCATATAATTTGCCTAATCTAGGCATATCGAATGGTGGTATTTTCACAGTGAACGATTTATTTTGGTTAGTGTCAAAAAAAATGAATCTGCTACTTTAAGACGCAATATTTCGACGTCCAGTGACCCGATTTGAAC